ACCAAATAACGATCTTTTTTAGACTACACCTCCTACAATTTATAAGTCCTTTATTTCACTTGTGTTGGTTGTAAGTCGCAAATAAAATAGTGCATATCAAATGTAGGCTAGCCATCAAAGCACCTTAGATGTCTGTCTGAAACCTAACTAGCCAAACAATAGTACACACGTCTGCACGAAGGGGGGATCATTGTGAAAGACGAACCATGGTATTTCAGTCTAGCCTATGACCAGATTTAGAAATATGCTCGACTTTACGCCTCTTGCTCAAGGTGGGAAATTACGGTCATCAAGAAAAATTACCGCCTCCTCTCGGGGTTCGTATTCTTGGTCCTTAAATCTGTCCCTCATCCATCTTAAAGACCTCGTGTTCCTTGATATTTGCTTGCCTTATTTATTTATATCAAATGGAAGGCGTTTTGATAGTTATCATTAGCCCTTTAGTTGACTTCAGGCTTCACAGAGGGGAGGTAACATCAAAGTGAAAAATGTCGAGGGGGGGGGGGGCAGAAGGGNAATCGAAAAATGTCGAGGGGGGGGGGGGCAGAAGGGTGTTTCAAAGATGTAAAAGAGCCAGACACAAAGGTAGAAAAAAGGCGAGATGAGTACTGTGGAAGGAGTCGAATATGACTTACAGTGGGGTTATGGTAGTTTAAAGTCAGAAGTCAACTGCCGGTTAATAGACTTTCTGCCGTATGAGTATACGTTGCCCAGGGTGTACCACGTGGAGATGAGTCTATCGCACACCCCTTGCCTTATTTATAGGATCCATTTAAAAAATGATATGTTTAGATCATCAGTATTTGGAACTTTGAATAGAACCATTCGAGCTAGAATGTTTATGTTTTGTCTGGAGTGAATTATTCACATCCGAGATAATTTAAATCGACAATTTCCTGTTAATTAATCTTAAGGATTGCACACTTGTTCAAGTGTACTAAGGAGCAGGATCATCACATTGCCTGGTGTTGAAATAATGCCCACCTTTAGGGTATTTATAATTTTTATTGAGTTCTGGAACTTGTAGCTATTTTGGGAGGCAAACATGTTTTATACCAGTCACACATGAGGAAGTACTTGGCACATAATTGTCACTATGGCTAAAAAATTACCAATCATTTAGTGGGTTATTTGTATGAAGAGGCATTTATTTCAATAAAAAATTGAAATACTGAATTATCTTGAAGGTGGAATGTGTTAGTCTCTTGCGAACGACTAAGCAATGAGAGACTAGCTTCGACCACTATAAAGTCGATATAAATGTAAATAAACCTGCATTTAATTAGGAAGCATCTGAAAGTATAAGAAATCAATTGTGACTAAAAGTCAATCCAATATGGTATCCCTGTGTTTACTGAATAGATAAATTTACATTACCTATTTGAAGAACTTCACCTGACCTACGCAGTTTACTGTATCAGGTTCCAGAAAAAATACTATAAAATGTACTTTTACTAATTTGAATGCTTTTCGTTTCATTGAACAAGCAAGCTCCTTCTGTTTTGCTAAATGCATAGTAAATTAAATTGTCGTAAAATGTACCCCCATTCCAGAAAAGACACAAAAAAGGATGAGCAATGAGATCCTTTGTGGGATTCCATTTAATTTTCTATCAAAAACATAAGCGTATTTTGCGCACATCCTACTGGAAAGTCTACAAAGACGAGTGACATCAGGGAAGTAAATGTTTCACTTATGTGAATTTGTTGCTTGATGGTTAATGAAAGTGAAAACCTTGAGAGTGAAATAGACTGCACATTTTACCCACAGCACTAATGATCGTTTAACTACACATTGCCTACCTTCTCAAACGCGCATTCAATCCCAGTTGAACTGCAATGAAAATGTCATCTTTAGACAAACATGAACAGCTAACAAAGTATATTCCGTTTCCTCCCAAAAGCTACTATCATTTGTATTAAAAATGCTGTTTAATGTCCATTTATATGATTGGTGAATGCATTTTTAAGATATTTGTCACGAGATACTGCAGGCATTGCAGAGGGAAAATCATTCATTCAACGACTTTGGATGCTCCATGCTGACATGTGTCCTAAAATAAACTGAAATGATTTCAAAATGAAAGAAAAAGAATGATCAGAATCTTTCCTTGAAATTCCCTTATAGAAGAGATCATCTTTGAGTATATTGGGCACAAAATTTGGAGTATAAGCCTAGAAATTTTTCAGGCAATGTTTGTCTTTTAAACTGCAACTGATTTATCGGAGTTGATGTGACTGACAGTAAGGTGGGCCAATACTCAAAGGAATGATTGCCATCAGATTAAGTATATATTCACTGAGATCACTCCACAGATGCCTAGTCATTCACATGGGTTCTTCCCTTTCTGTCTTCTCCATAGTCCTGGCTACTAAACTAAGATGGTCAATCACAACAACCAACTACCAAAATCTCTTTTATTTCAAAGTTGACTTGGTCTCAGACGTTATTTGTCGCGAATAAGAAGTTACAGTACTTGTCGTGATAAACCGAGCAGTTTTGGCATGTTATTGTCACTAATCTCTAGCTCAAGTGAATATAATATTAATAACAATAATTGGTTGAAAATTTTTATTATTATTTCATTGGCCCCTTAGTTGACTTCGACTTACACCAGGGGTGGGGGCATATATTTAGGATTTAGGACAGTTAACAGTAGTTCATTAGTTGTCTCCAGGCTTCCCAGTATCTCTGGGTTACTGTCATTGTCTTTAGGGCTGGACACCGAATCAGGTGGGTCTTCTCCATTTCCTCCTGTAGGTCACATAGGGGCATGTTGGCTGAGCGTATACTCCTATTCTGTGAAGGTGCTTCACCAGGCAATCATGCCTAATTGGTTAAAAATAAAGTCAGGCAAAATAGGTTGCCTTAATTATACTAGCCATTTTGAAATCAAAATGATAAAAACGAGTTAAAAATGAGTTGTGGTGAAAAAAATACTATAGACTAGTATAAACACAATTATTAAAATGAAGTAGACAATTCCCTTAGTGATAATGAAAAGGTTTATTTATTTATATCAAATGGCAGGCGTTTTGATGGTTATCAATAGCCCTTTTGTTGACTGTAGAATATTTAGGATAATGTGATATGCTATCGATTGTCTTTCGAGTGTGACTATATGCAAATAGGCCTTGATATTTATTCAAAGTTGCTTTAATTGTATTTATTCATTGATCACTAGTNTGTACAAGTGGTATTTAGAAGGATTAGATTCACCAATCAAAAAACGATTGTTATCTCACATGGTAGCACGAAGAGAAATTGAAGGCATGCGGTGTCTTCAGATCCACCAAATAATCGTTAATGAAAATTAGGTATGTGGTTTTCAGGAAAGATTTATTTATTTATATCAAACGGCAGGCGTCTTGGTGGTTATCATTAGCCCTTTAGTTGACTTCAGGCTTCACAGAGGGGAGGTGGAACATCAAATCGAAAAAGTCGAGAGGGGGGGTGAACAGAAGAGTGTTTCAATGATGTAAAAGTGACAGACACAAAGGTAGAACAAAGGTGATGTGAGTACTGTGGAAATAGTCGAATATGGCATAGAGTGAGGTGATGACAGTTTGAAGTGAGAAGTCAACTGCCGGTTAATAGACTTTCTTGCAGTATGAGAATACGTTGCCCAGGGTGCACCACGTGGAGGTAAGTCTATCGCACATCCCGTATTCAGGACAGAAGCTGGAAACCAGGAGAAAACAATTAGCGAATACTGTGCTGGAGTCTCATACCAGCACAGAAGATCACAAACCAGACTGGCAATAAGCTCTTCAAGGATATACCATTTAAGCGCCTTTTTTAACTGCAATCATGAACCAATTTCTCTATTTTACTGTGATGCTGTTGTCATGCAAAAGCATACGGCAATAAAAAATCTGACAAATCTCTTTTAAAGAAATAATGCAAAAAAGAATATATAGCGTTGAGGCACTGAATGGACGGCGTATATTATTAACAGTCCATTTGATGATTCATTTGAATAGCAGAGGGGAAGTTGATTCACGGGAGAAAAATTACTCCATCGCATGATTGCAATGATTAAAAAGAGGAGATAATGACGGTGAAAGGCAATTGCCTTTTAATGTTGCTGTTGTTGTTGTTATTCGGTTTAATGCACTTCCACTAATTTTATGGAATTAGCTCGCTGTTTCCAGTTTTTTTGGGCACAAATTTTCGTGTTTTAGATATTTTGTCGGATTGAAATAAATGAGTACTTTGATAAGCTTGGAATTTTACGACTATGGAGAATATACTTATTGAAGTGAAAGGAGAGTAAATGGTCATGTTTCCAAATTAGCTCAGCATTTTTCAAAAATTTATTTACTTCAAATAGCGGGCGTTTTTGATAGCTATCATTAGCCCACAGGGGAGGAACATCAAAGTGAGAAAAATTCGAGAAGGGGAACAGTAGAACGATTCACAGATGTAAAAGAGACAGACAGACTCAAAGGTAGAGAAAATGGTAAGGAGAGTACTTTGGAAGTGGTGCAATGTGGCATACATTCGGGTCATGGTAGTTTGAAGTCAGAAGTCAGCTGCCGATTGATAGACATTTTTGCCGTATGAGTATACGTTACCCAGGGTGCACCACGGACTCTTTTGCCGTGTATACGTTACCCAGGGTGCACCACGTAGAAGTAAATCCATCGCACACTCCAGTTTTCCTATGTAAATCTGTGGATTTTAACAGGTTCAGTGTTTAATAAAGGTAAAGATTTCTGGTTGATGCTGTTTAAAGTTGCAAATACGTTGGATCAGATGAACTTTCTGTGAGATAAAATCGATGTGAAACATCTAATTTAGACTAGGTCTAAATTCTTGTTAATTTGACCTTGAAGAAGTTGGCAATGAAAAAATTTATTCAAATTTCAATTAAAAAGGAAGCAATAAATAATAAGTAAGAACTAAAGTGGAAATAAGAAATGAAATCGATGAATTTATCTGTCGGAAAAACAGAAACGTTGAGTCGTTCATATTTCTTTCCCGATAAGTTTCGAGAAATGACTGCCAAAGGTTGGTCATATCACTTGTATTAATATTTACTTCCTAATGTGAATTAAATGAGTGAATTTAATCATGCTTTCTTTTAAAATAGACAGGCCAGTTGTCCTGAGTCACTTTGCCAAATCCGTCTTCTTGACCTCAGGTCAACCAGGTCACATCGTCTGTTGCCTATCTGGCTTCCCTGAGGTCTCCGAAGTGATGTGGCATCAACGTGTCCTGGCGAATGCTGTAAAGGCTCCTGAACCGGATGAAAATAGTACAATACACACCAATCTCATCTCAGGTCAACCCTTTCCAGTAAAACAACTGGCCAAATCTTCCTATCACTTAAATGCAAGTTTCAAAAGTGCACTTAATACAAAAATACCAAAAATACACGCTTAAATTCCATTACTAAGCATTGAATTATTATTAGCAATGGTAAACAATACTAGCATATAATAACATTTGATTGACTGTTAATGTAAGCTAAATATTGTTATAATACGATAAACGTTTCGTGAGAATAAATAATTAACTGACACTCCCCAATACCCTTCTTGCCTAATTATGCATTAAGCCCAGTGAATCAATATAGTAGATTAATTTATTTAGATACTGGACGATAGAGGAAGTAAGTGGTGGGGTTTGGTGGGGTTTGGTGGGAGGGGGGCGGAGGTAGGTGAGCACAATATCTGTTGACATGACTTCACTATATGAGTTTTAAATGCTACAGTATTGTCATATTTGCAATTACAATGCCAAATAGTCCCACTTAGGCCACGTGTTGAAGGGAGGCTCATTCGAATGAAACAATATATTCATCAGAAAATTCAAATGCCCAGAATGGAAGGAGTAAGAACTTTGGAGACGTGTGCACATCCGTTACTTGTCAAGAGGTGGCTGTTTTGCATCCTAATTGATTCTGTTGAGCAATCAATGAAAAAGGGTCTCACTATAAGGAGAGAGTAAACATGAATCAACTTGTCCTTAGCTTTAGTCAAGTTTCAGAAATCTACTGTCAAGCGAAACAGAATTTCCTATAGGAGATTATTACAAATGAGAATAACAAATCAGCTGATCGTTTTTACTTTAAAACATTGCACCTCAACGAGGTAATGACGGTACTCAAAACACTAGGTTTCTTTTTGCATTAGTCACAGTTTGGCAGTGGACCAGATCAGCATATTCGAGATTTCCAACAGGTGAAACTGTAAATTTACATCTGTAATAAAAGATCCATTTTCAGATCTGTAGTTAGCACTTCGTTCAATGTACTTTCGTACCGTGTTCACACGCCCCCCCCCCCAATATCTAAGATGAGCTGTCAAACTGCCCAAATTCGAATTAGTTTTTTTACTAATCTTCAGGAAAAATCTTATCTTTAAAGCATAAACTAGAATGTGATTCAAAGGACGCATTTTGCCATATGCTTACTACCAACTCTTGGAATTTATTTGCCTAAAACTTGACAACTTTTAACTTCGATATACTACATATGACAATAAATGAAGATTTGAATGAGATTTCGTTTTTGGAAAATTACTGAATAAACCAGCTTCTCATGGTACGGGGATGGGTCAAAAAGCCGTCAGACACAGATGCCATAACTTCAAGTGGAGCAACGACTTACAAGTTCTCACATTTTCAACAACAACAACAACAACAAGACGCACGAGTTGCCATTGAGGTGGCAATTGTCAATGAAGTGGGAATCGCACACGAATCAGCATTTTCACTTCTCACAGAAAATCTTGGCTTCAGCAAGCTCTCAGTGGGGCACGCCGGACACGGTGGGTTCCAAAAGCGTTACTGCCTCAACAACAACTACAACCGATCCAATGAGCTCAACCCTCTTTACCAACTTTGGCAAAGATGGAAGCAAATGTGCCTCATTTCTTAAGCGATGTACTACCGGCGATGGAACCTGGAACGAATCTCCACCCATTTGATCCATAAAACAAAAACTGCCATCTCAACAGTGGCATCCAAAGGGAACATCTGGCTGGGCCTGCCAAATTCAAAACTACAATCTCTGTTAAGAAGGTCGTGGTCACTACTGTGGGAGTCAAATGGAGTGACATTGAGAGAGTGTGCAGAAGGACATAAAACGGTGAACCACAGTTCTTATGAAGGCGTTTTGAAGAAGTTGAAGACACCCCTCGTCGAAAAACGGCGCGGGAAACACTTCCACATCATCCTTATACTCCAGACCTGGCTCCCTCAGATTCTTTTGTTTCCAAGGCTGAAAGAACACCTTGAAGGCGGCACTCGATTTATGTCTTTAGATAACGCGAAAAAGCATGCCATTTCATAGTGTCAAAGGCAGTCCTCACAATTCTATCATGAGGGACTTTACCCGTGAAAACATAGATTTCAAAAGAGCATAGACAACAATGAAGCCTATGTAGAAAAGTGAATGTAATCACATGTTCGGTAAATAATTTATGGGATTTGTCTGAGAGCTCTTTTGACTTACAATCGTATCTTGCCATAAACGGAAGCGTATTCTCCGTTGAATAGGTATCTATTCTATTCCTTTGTAACTGCCCTAAGTTCATTGCTGCGTACCCAGTAAAGGGATAGCTCTGTTTGTCTTTGATAGGACGTGATGTGCTACAAGAAATTGATCTCATTTGTGATACCGGAGTTAGCTGGAGCCTACACTTGTCAAGGGAAAAATGATCTCGGCTGGGGCCAACGATCAACACCTTTTGATGTTTTCGTTCAAGGTGAGTAGTTGAATACGACTAAACCTTTCGATCTTAAAATAAATTTATTAATAAATTGAGTTATGCGTGCCAATACTTTGAGGGGAATACATAAATTTAGTTATATCAAATTTAGTTATATCAATTTTTGATGGCTATCATTAGCCTTTTAGTTGACTTCAGGCTTCACAAAGGGGAAGGAACATCAAAGTGAAAAAAAGTCAAGAGGGTGGAGGGGAGGAACAGAAGAGTTTCAAAGACGAATTTAGAAAAGGTAGGAAAAAGGTTAGGTGAGTACTGTGAAAGATGTCGAATATGACATACAGTGGGGTGATGGTAGTTAGAAGTCAGAAGTCAACTGCCGGTTTATAGACTTTTTTGCCGCATGAGTATATGTTGCCCAGGGTGCACCACGTGAAGGTATGTCTATCGCACACCCCATAATCATAGAATGTACTAATGTACTGGTGTTATTGAGGGTATAAATGGATATTGAACAAATTGAGCTCTGCCTAATGGTATTATTTACGTATATTCGGTACAAATAGAAAAAAATCATTCACCTGCGTATATATATGGAACAAATTTTTGATAATTTTTTGTTTGTAATTTATTATGCTTGTAACATTACTAGGAGACTAGTACCGAGATGTTTGTGCTTAAATGCTATTTAATTTCAACAAATATGCGACCGGTTTGTGGTTTTATTTTTGAGATGCGATGTGATGCCATAAATTCTGCGTAAATTCAAAGGCATAAATTGCCAAAAACAAGTCATGATTATTATTATCGACGCAGGAAAATAAAGATTAATGTGCCCCAAAAGAGCCAACAATTTTTTGGGGTTTATTTACCAAACAAGTTGTACATAAACGCGCATATTCCAGCTCTAGCGAAATGGAGTGGGGCGTATCACTAATTTGTCCTGCACAGCTTAAAAGATATCAAATAACCACCCAAATGCACCAACTCTCAGAATGAGGATTGTGAACAACTTTGTTTGTCATGAACTCTGCAATTCTGTGCTAATAGTAGTACCTTTGAAACCCTGTCTTTATTAAATCTTCCATTGTCATATTGAGTTAACTGCAACAGGTTAAGTAGATTATTAAGGTGCACTGCATTCTATAACTAAGAAGGTTATGATCTTTTGAGCTAGGTTATACAATATTCAACCATTCCACCCCCCCCCTCTCCCCTCCCTCTCCCCCCNTTTATTATTATTTCATTGGCCCCTTAGTTGACTTCGACTTACACCAGGGGTGGGGGCATATATTTAGGATTTAGGACAGTTAACAGTAGTTCATTAGTTGTCTCCAGGCTTCCCAGTATCTCTGGGTTACTGTCATTGTCTTTAGGGCTGGACACCGAATCAGGTGGGTCTTCTCCATTTCCTCCTGTAGGTCACATAGGGGCATGTTGGCTGAGCGTATACTCCTATTCTGTGAAGGTGCTTCACCAGGCAATCATGCCTAATTGGTTAAAAATAAAGTCAGGCAAAATAGGTTGCCTTAATTATACTAGCCATTTTGAAATCAAAATGATAAAAACGAGTTAAAAATGAGTTGTGGTGAAAAAAATACTATAGACTAGTATAAACACAATTATTAAAATGAAGTAGACAATTCCCTTAGTGATAATGAAAAGGTTTATTTATTTATATCAAATGGCAGGCGTTTTGATGGTTATCAATAGCCCTTTTGTTGACTGTAGAATATTTAGGATAATGTGATATGCTATCGATTGTCTTTCGAGTGTGACTATATGCAAATAGGCCTTGATATTTATTCAAAGTTGCTTTAATTGTATTTATTCATTGATCACTAGTGCATTGGGCTACAAAGTGCAATAAAAGCACTTCACCCATTACCTGCTGTGTTCTTGATATTATAAACGTATCCTTGTTTATTTTAACATAAACTCCTAATCTATTGAGCTCAGTTAGAGGCTCGTTTTGGCTGCTTGCGGTTAGTTTCACTGCTGAAAGGATTGACAATTTCTAGAAAAGTACTTATTTGTGTCTTAACCAATAGAGACAAACCTGTTCTCAAGTGATAAATGAACAACACAGAGCCCTCATATAAAAAAAACTTGAAAAGCAAATGGGTCACCTACCATATTTAGGGAGCATATACTTACAAGCATCAACACGCGATATTACACTTATCTTACTTTAATAGAAGAATCCAATGAGCGTTTCTTGATCCATATTAATTTCTAAGGTAGTATGATTGGCTACAGTCTATAGAAACTTACACGCATGACAATGATAGAAGTCAATATTATGACACAACGGGAATCAAATTTTATGGACTCTGGAGAAGGAAACCATAAGGTGGTTTGAAAATTAGCCTTTAAGGTTCGACTTTCCGCACGCCAACATGCTAAACTAAATCCCTTAAACCAACATACCTTAACAAGCTCTGAGAACAATGACCAACATGAACACACAAATTAGTGTTACAACTGTCCCTAATTTGTCTATCGAAAGCTGAAAAATAAGTGACAAATTTGGTAAGCCAGAGTAAATTAAAAAGCAACACGAGTAGAATACCTAAATAAAACTGAGAAAAACATTTAACCTATTGAAAAAATTATATCATTTTTATAATATATTTAGAGGCGGATTTGACGATAGCAAATATTGTTTAAGTTGCCTAGCGCGTCTTTTTCGATATCCGCTTAATCAAAATGGCTAATCGTACTTGGGGAAGAAATGGTAATTAACTGAATTGTAGTAATCACTTTTGTTATTTATAAGGTCCTGCATATAATGTTGGAGGCGGCTACATGGCTCCTAATGCCCCACAAATGGGTGCCAATATGAATTACTATCAAATGACCCAAATGGATAGACGGGCAATGTACACAAACAATCCAGGTGTCAAGCCATACAGTGGAGGTGGTTATCGCGATGACGGTGCTTATCGCCGTCGAGATGACTATCGCCCTGGTAAGCGACCAAGAGGTAAGAGCCCAGGCGGTGATAGGCATTCTCATGGCCACGATGTCTATCATAAGGATAGGGCATCGGGTAGACGTCCGCAATATTCATCTCGCTACGAAGTCAAAATTCCAAAACTTCCATTGACGCTAAAATCTGCGACATTCCCCGAGCTTAAGTTACTGTATCATGGCCTTACTATTCCTGGCGATTACTCAAAAGCCATCTTCTCGTGGCAAGAAGCTTTCCCAATGTACGAACCTATGAAGATCGCTACCAAAACGGAATTCTATGTATGTCATTTGTGTTAGGCTAATTAATTCATTATCCAGATTTTGCACAGGGATGTGGAATCACCATTTACCCATCCTACTAATGCACTAAGTGTTTCAGACGCGGATTATTCATATTCAGTTCGTATTCTCCCCATAGCTTCACCAGAATTAGGTGAACTTTATAAGCAAACCTTCCGTGCTGCTGACGAGAAGGTCGATGTTGAAAAAGTTTCTGCTATTAAAAACATCCATTTCTTACTCGGTGGAAAAACCAAGGTTGACACCTTGGCCATTGGTGGTCCATGGTCTCCTAGCTTGGACGGGGCTGATCCTGAAAGTAATCCAAAGACGCTTATTAATACTGCCATTAGAACCTTCAAAGGTTTCACTGGTGTAGATTTGTCATCTGTAACGGAGTGGTAAGGTTACTAATTTTTCCTCTTTATTGATTCTTTAAAGGGTTCGCTTCCTCGAACTTCGCTACTATCGCATGGCAGGCACTAAAGCTCCTGCACTCATTGAAGATGAGGAAGAAAGAGAAATTACGGAAGACAAAACCGAAGTCGTTGTCTTCTTGATTCCAAATTGTTCTCACCTTGTTCCCAACGATAAGGCTTGGGAACAGACGAAAAAGTCCTATCAGGATGCATTCCAGAAGTTAATTTCGACTCCAGAAACACCTGCGAAGCCCGAGGAAGGTGTTAAACCAGAGGAGCCTTCTGTGACAGAGACGGCAATGGAATCTTCTCAAGTTTCTGAAACTACAATGGAGGAGACCCTTGATAGCTCTCATGCTGAACCTATTGAAGGTGAACCGACAAACTACTCAAAACTTGACATCAATAGCATGAAGGTAATAATGCTTCCCTCTATATACTCGCTTGTTTAATTTAGGTGAATGAACTGAGAGCTGAATTAAATGCCAGAAAATTGGATTCTAAGGGTGTTAAAGCCACTCTTATTAGTCGCCTTCAAGCTGCTATTGATGAAGAACGAAAAGCGGAAGAGAGTGAGAATGAGCCCAAACCCATTGATGAACCCATAAAACAGTCAGGTAAGTTGAAACTTGTTTCTGTACTTGAAAGTCTTTAACAAGCGTCGGTCATTTATCTCGTTATGTGCCTTGAAACGTATGTGTGGAAAGTTTACACTGAGAGAAAAGGAAACCTTTCAGAGGTTTTGTTAAGGTGTGATACGGCTCAAAGTCGTCTAACGACAACCCTCTTTTTACTTATTACTGCAGCCGAGGATTTGCCAACTAGTCAAACACCAGCAACTGAAGTCACTGCAGTGGAGCCAAAGAAGGAACAAGCGCAGAAAGAGATCTCAGAAAAAGAACGTCGTCGTTTGGAGCGTCTCTATCGTTTGGGTGATAAGGCGGCTATTCTAATCCATCCTAACCGCTTGGCACGTGGCGGTCGATTCGATTGTCATCGAGTTTCGTTGCATTCCCTTCTCAATTATCCCCAGTCTGATGAGCAACAAAAAGAGCTCAACTTTGAGGTCTGCCTGTTTGCCGAGCAGTTCCATACTATGATGCAGCGTGATTGCGCTTTCACTATCTTCAAAGGAGTCTACTCTGCACCTGAAAAGGATGGAAAGTACGAGATAGTATTGTGTTTGTGTTTCACACAAATTCTCTAGCCACCTTTTACTCCTCTAGCCTCAGTTTAGCTTGCTACCTATTCTCAGCAGCTATGTGGTGATGCGATTATCTTCACTTTACAGGGTGGGAAAAATTAGGGTCTTTAATTCACTATCTCCCATTGTAATGCTCTTTAATCTGTTAGCTTCTCTTTAACCGTTCATTTTTTATCCATTTTCTAAAGGGCCGAACAAAATGGACACGATGAATCCGACGTTAAGCGTAGAAAGCTCGAAGAAGAGGAAGAAACCACTCCGACTAGTGAGAGTGAGGATGCCAACAAGCCGCGAAAAATGCGAAGGACTGTCGAATTCGATCTTCTTTTTGCATTCTCGTTCTTTGATTCGGGTCACGCTGGCTACATTCGTGAGCATGATCTAGTTGATATTCTCCATCTTCTCAACTTGGGCTATTCGAAATCCCAACTGAAGAAGCTAGTTGGAAAAGTAGCTCACAGAGACAACGTGCGCTTCAGAAATCTTACTGATCGTGCTGTTGTTGAAGGTGACGATAACGATGTTATCACTTTGAAGCTCCAACCGAATGATCCAGAATTTCTACGTGATCTTGCGGCTGGTAATGACCTGCTGTTTGGAGGTGAAAAACCTGAGGGCTCTTCAAAGTGAGTGTGTTTATAGGTGGTTTTAATTAAGTCCTCTCTGTTTAGGGTTATTGTCGCTCCATCAGTTGGTACTGAGGAGTTACTCAAACGTGTCCAAACTGCAGAGGAACTGAAGAATGCAATGGAATTGAAGTTCTTCCAAATCAAGGACGAGTTGGAAAAGACTCGTTCACGTCTGAATGCCAGCAAGGACATTGAAGATCGTTTGAAGAAGGAGAATCGAGAGAATGCAGACAAATTGCGTGAAGAAATACGTATCAGCCGGGACAATAAGAGCCTAGTGTCAACGTATAATTACCTACTAAAACATTCTAAGGATCTTATGATGAAAGCAGTTGGGGAAATTGATAAACAGTTCGAGAGGGAAAGGGCCAAACGTGAAGCTGCAGAGGCGGAGAAATTGAAACGAGAGAGTGTTGAAGGTGGAGAGAAGAAGGAAGAAAACCCTGCAACCTCAGAAGATGAAAAGAAGGATTTACAGAAGGGTGGTGAAGACAAACCGGAATGGGAAGTTGTTGATCAAGTGTAATTTGTGTGTGATTCACTTTGATAACTGTAATGTCCCTTTGCCTCTTCGTGTATCCACCCCTCTATCGTGTTTTTTCTTTGCATTTCATATTAATACCACTTTAATCGCGCTCATCAGTTTTTCTTTTTTTCCGTAATTCTCTGCCCCAATTTTGTTTGCTTGTAACGAACATTTTATACATACTGGTTTGACTAAATATTTTTGTTTTATTTCCTTCAGTAATTGGTATTTGATATCGGTTTGGTGTAGTCTTTGAATTGGTTTAATCTTCATCTTTGTAATTACAGATGAAGTGATGTACTCTTAATTCTTACACGTCCCAACATCAAGTCGTTTCTTACATTCCCGCTTATTGTGGGAGACCAAGGCTTAAATGTGATGTAACGAATTTGTTTTCGGATGAATAAACGACCTTTTCGTGCAATTTGGAATGTTTGCAGTGTTTTCTGTAGAATGACTAATTTTGGTTTATGGTGTAGCTAGGGGATCTTGCAATAATTAGGAAATCTACATGACAAAGTACAATAATACAAAAGCACACAATGTGGTTGTATTGTTGAGTGATATTAGGTGCTCCGTTTAGTGTATTTAGTAGTTTGTACTCAGACTACAAAAGGAGAATAACTCTGTCAATGCCTTCTCAGTGAAACCTGGAGCTGTTTTCTACCCCTGAAAAGAGAAAAGGATAAAGATGGCTTATAACATTATTTCCCACTTATCTATGGATAGAGCCGCCCCCCGTAACCACTTCGTTTTCATTGTCTTGTCCTGTAGAAAGAGGTGAGAGCTTTTAAGCCGTCTAAGGTCTACGTTTCAATACTTCATGATGATATCCTTGTTCATGCACAAAGTAGGCTATATGGGCCAATTAGGTACCCAGTAATGCAACAGGTAGTTGCAGAAATCAATTGAGACACATTTTATGAATTCTATCCTCATCATTAAGCTATTCGGTTTGGCCAAACGTCAGTATTATTTTCATGTTTCCATTATACAAGTGATCGACGGTTCATGCTTAAGACTACGGGTTGCTTTGTAGTGACATAACTTTGCACGATTCGGTACGATTTTGAATCCGTGGCTCCCCTTCTTTTTCTTCTAACCATCTGCCCACTCCAATTTTAGCTTACAGTCTAGGCAATAAATCTCTCCTTTATTCTCTCTCTCTCTCTAATTATAAATATTCACGACGCATTTACGGTCTAATAATAATTTTGCTTGTGGTGTAGTTTGTTTGGGAAGGGAAGGGCACTATTTTGGAGGGATTTCTGAATCTGCCATACTTACCTTGCCTTCCTTCTGACAAACCAAACCAACGACAGTATACATGGTCTCCAGGGGGTTGCTAAGGCAGAAATATCGAGGTCACTAGATAGAGAGCTGCAACCCGTAAGAAAGGGGCAGAGGCCCTCCGAGGAAGGTACTTAAATGAGAAATGGCAAGAAACGAAATTGGGGCAATAAAAGCAAAAGGTAGTCGAGGTATCATTGGTAAAAATCGATGAACGGAGCTGCAAGCAGAAGGGAGGTAGCTGGGGTCAGAAAGAAGATTAAAGTTGCTTCACTGCAGCCAGAGTGTAGGGATCGAATTGAATAGGTTTAGGGTTGGCAACTTTCTTAAAAGAAGTTTAGCATAGCGAGGAAATTCATTGGTTATCTTGAAGAAAAGGCTTGGTGATTAAGAAGTCGAAAAGAAGTACCGAAGATCGTTTGATTCTCCGTGGGAGTCAGACAGGCGTGTCTATATTTGCTAGTCAAAATGATCTTCTCGATTGTTAATGATCCAATTTTATGTGATTTTTCTAAAAAAAACTCAGTCGCTTTACCAAAAACCCATCATTTCAAATTTATCAATTTTGCGTTTATATTTTACCAAATATTCGCATATTCCATGGAAGATATCATTCTGCATCTTGTGATTAATGAAACCTCCACTTGTGAGAGAGCGACTATTCTGCTACAGTAGCTACAACCCTCTCTTACAGCTTGGGCTCAGTTTTGACTAAACCCTGTGCACTCCAGCTTCTCATTGATCGCCTGATGAAATAATAAATTTATGTTTAAATCACAACCCCCACACAACCGCATATTAGCTAAAAGGATGAATGCAGCTTATTGAGCCTGCACTTTTTGGCATCCCATCAATAACACTGTATGTTTGGCTTTAATACAATAATGTGGAAAAATGCGGTTTATGAGGCTATGCAAAATAATAAGGAGAGATGGTTGAGACAAAGCAGATACATTGAAAACCACTTTAAATCTGCGTTTAACCTAAGTTTATGATGTAGTCTTCGTTTTAGAAACCCATCCGTACAGTGTTTGGGGTGTTAGGAACTGTTATGGTTGGTTACACTTATAAGTCTTGACTTATGCTTATCTCTGTGGCAAGATCTCCTATTTTGGAAAGTCTTCCATGACTGGCTTAGCTACCGCAAAGTTACATAGGAAACAGACGTATGTCATGGAACGCAGTTATTTAGTCTCCGCGCGTGCCACAGAGATTAGTCATTAAATACAATGACGGTTAAGTAAACAACTCAGGGACTATTTATTGGTGGCTGACTGAGAGGTCTCCGGTCCCAAAGGGGGAGAGGGCTGGGAAAATTCGTGTCCTTTTATATCTTAGTGTTCACGTTTTTTGCTTCCATTGATGTGGTTGTCAAGCACGCATTAGCATAAACACTTTTGTGCAGTATCCAATTCCATACATTTGTCATATCGCAGACCAGCCTCGAATGTATTAAGGTCTATTGGTACTTGCAATTGGATTTGAACAACAAGGGTAGTTTTACATGGTTCATTTATTCTCTCCTTCGAGGCGTATCCAACTTTAATTTATTTGAAGCAAGCAGGGTTAACCACCGGCAGAACAGAAACTTACATTATTAATATAAATTCCTATTTCATTATGAAAAGAAATGAAACCTTTTAAAGGAAATGTGATGTAGTAGTATTACTTTAATTCAACAGAATGCTATAATAGTAAATGAATTAAACTAATCGTGTTGTACGAGCTTTAAAATAGTATTTTCTGTCTTTGGATCGAAATGTAGTTGTATTAATCTCACATACTGAATAGTGGATAAATTTATTACTGAAGTGTTATTAGTTGAGGTATCGTATGTATCGCTATTTCCCGTTTTTAAATCCAAAGAATTTTTAATGGAATAAATTTAAAACGGATTACCGATACTGGAAGGATTCATTAAGGTACGAATAAATTATATGTAGCTTTGTTTACGTGCATCGGATTAAGTGCTTCATGCCAAAGAGGGTTCATTGATTTGCATAATTTTGTTGGTCGTATTGTTTTCTGCCGTTATTTTTCCTATTATTTATCATATTAGATTTCGCACAATGTTTCTTTCAAAATAACTATCAGTTAATTTTTTGATTTATATCACTTTGTTATTTAAATATGTTCTTTAATTTAGTTATAGATTATTTTAAATTTATGGATGGCAAAAATGTGAATTTCGGGTTTGATGCAAAGGTATTCTACATTGTAAATATGAATTTTATTCTTGTTTTCCTAGCTGCCTTATAATGCCTTTTTCAGTTATTAAGAGATGGAGCTACTGAGTTGTGTTTTGAGCAAGCCATGGCAAAAGCACGTTTTTCTCACTTTCAAGAAACAGACCTTCTGATAAAGCATCCCAATACCTGTTTGACAGAACTTCCTCTTGAGGCTTTTATTATGAGGCACTATGCCAAGAATCTCATGATTAAAAGTAGGTGAATCAACTGTTTATTTGTTTGCCTACGATGTCCATTTGATGTTTATATGGATTTATTTGATATAAATTCCTTTTTTACGAAGACAATGAAGAATATCTGGAATTTGCTTACGGAGATCCCTTCATTTCATCGGAGTTGTATATATTGCGTGATTCTTATTTTAAAGAAATATCTGATCTTCATCGGAAGGTACGCTCTTCCCTATAGATTTATACTACACGTGAATTAATTGCTTGATGTAAATTTTCATATTAAAGGTGAAATCGGCAAATTCTAGCTGTCAAGAAATAAGTTCTTCCACAAAACCTCTTTTTCGAAGGTGAGTTTTTTGTCAATTTTTAATTTAAATTTGTGTCCGACATGCCTCGTTTGCTTATAACTGATACTCTTACTTACTGGGTTTTAATCTTAATTATGTCAATGATTCTTTTTCCTTATTGATTGATGATGTAGAACAACTACTTTTGAAATCTTTACCGAAATAAATCATTCTAAGTATCAGAAGAGTGCAGATAATATTCCCAGAACGAAAGACCAATATTGGACTGGACTATGCACATATCAATCACGAAATAAGTGGGTGAACAGGGAGTGGTTGGAAGAAGGATAGGAAGTTTAGAAGATTAGGAACTAACGCCAAAGATCCGCTCAGGGCGGTTAAACGAAGAAATCCATTTCATGGAACAATTTTTTTGGAATGAAATAACTGCCCACCCGATTAAGCACCCATGGGGGAGAGTCAAGCTTCAGTCCTAAACAGTGAAAAGCTACATGATTGCATTTTAGCTTTTAACCCCAAATAACCGTCTATTTCGAATAAGCGCAGGTGGGAAAACCCCGGTATATTTGCGATTGTATATATCAAATTTCTTAAACATCTTTTCTTCAATCTCCTAGACCTTTTTATCATTTCGCTAAGTAATTTCTTACAGTTGTTATTTTGCTGTATTAGAAATACGCTCAGACTTTCAACTGGCATTGTAATTTATTCTCTATTTTAGTGAAGAATACTCCAAGCGCAGGTAAGATGTTGATAAATTTTGTTTTATGTGCATCCAGCATTGCTTTTTATCTATATATAAAAGTGATGTGTAGTACTTGCCTGGTTAAAACAATATTCATATCGGAATTTTAGGCTTCGAAAATGTGAACCTGTCTCATATCCGACGCCATAATTTGTAGTGATACAATGGCATGTTTGCTGATTCTGTTAATTTTTCAGGTTACGTCGACATTTTCCCTCTTTAAATTTATGATGGTTATTTGCAATTAGTCTTTTAAGGGCTCAAAACTGCAAATTTTTGGGTTCATTTCTTCACAACTTTAAGAATTTAGAGTCTACTAAACTCCGTAAGAGACACCGAGAAAGCCGCTATTAGATTTGTACCCGCAGTTAGTTCCTTGATTGGTTCAGACCTGCTATTGCTAGAAAGAAGGCGATAAGGAATTGTGATAAGGATGACCGTTGTGACGAAGACTCCAGAATGATGGAATGGAAATTATTGGCTGGGAAAACTGGCCGTTTACCATAGTCTGAACGATGATTAATGAACGATAAAGATGTCCAATATTTACGTTCAATAGCTTCAATTTATATGGCAGTTGAGAGAAGAATGAGTTGACACATCAATGTATATGATGGGCTAGTAGTTATAGCAGGCTAGTTTTTTTCAGCATTCATATTCTGCGTGTTACAAATGATTAAATGTAATCTAGCGCTACCTTTCATCGAAGAGTCCATTTCGATAGAGTATTTGTGTGGTAAGACTAAGGTAGACATTGGAGCTTATATCATTAGTTGGCGAAGCCAGTTGACGTGACTGTTGTTTCCTTACTTACGGCTTATTCATGCAGTTGAAACGAGTTAATTTTTAAAGCTAACTCCTAAATACCCCTTTTAGAAGGACAATTTACTTTGAGAAACCTCCCCTCGTTTCTGACTCCGAAGAGGAAGAAGAATCCGAAGATCATAAGGTACCAACAATCAGTCCCAGGAAATGCCATTTGGCAGTCATTCAGCCCAATAATCGGTTTGGGACTATCCTTGAAGGTGAAGAAACGGAGAAGGAAGAGGAAGTTGGCGCCGGTGACGAATTAAGACCTACTTCCCGTTTGGGACGAAACGGTCGCCATCTAATTGACGTATCAAATTACCTCTTGGAACAGTCAACTCTCGTTGGGGGTGTTGAGACTCTAGAGACTAATCAGCTTGAGGAGACCCTTGCAGCTACCCAGTTCTTTTCTCCTGGACAGGTTCGAACATATATAAATGGGATAGAGTAATCCTGCTAAGCTATTTCCCCTGCTCCTGTAAATATGCGATATTTACTGCTAGACAAGGTGTAAAGATGACTGATCACGTGTGTCAGAGAATTAAACTAAGTGTTAGGTCAAATATATGGGAGCGTAAATGGGTAAATGCTAGGGAAATGTATGCTAATAAAAGGGAAAAACTAGTGTTTTAATCTGTGATGCCCTTGTTAAGGCGGGCTAGGTAGAATGGATATGGCTGGAATCGAGGTTCTCAGCATGTAATCTCTTTGATGCGCTTTCCGTGAAGAATTTGGGAGTTCTTGTTTTAAGGGAATAGGCATACTGTCGTATAATCTTCCCAGCTTATCTTGACATCCGATGGCTTAAAAGAGGCTTCAGCGTGGCTAAACGAGAGATTTCTCATAATGGCACAATGACAAATTCTTCTCTGAAGTTTGTTTGCGTAAATCTGTGAGAGTATAATTCCATGATCAGAACTCTGAATTATTAAGGAGATTACTAAGTTGATTATTGCCATGGTCCTTCGGTGCTGCTAAGAAAAGGCCATTTTAAAGCATTGCCCCTATATAGATCCCGATAAGCCTTACTTTCACTTTAGCTAATGATTACGAAAAACAATACTCTATTACCGACTATCTTCATTATATCTTATAGTAGCCGAGTTAGTACAATTTTAAGGGCTATAAATCTGTCGATTTTCTCTATTCTTAATGGATATCTTTCAAGACGGGAAGCATCACTCTGTTTTTTTAATTTCTTAAGGTACGTCAACTGCTTGGCTCGATGCTCAAAGTGGATGAAAAGACAACCGTAGATCCCTGGTGTTCTCAATTTGTAAATGCGTTTTGGATTAAAATTGCTCCTCGAATGCGCGCGTGGTCTTCCTACTTTCCGATTGAACCTCTATCTCCTCCAAAAACTACTTTTCAGTTCGGTAGGTTGCATTCATGATTTATAGTTCTGGTATTGAGCAGATCGACTCCGAGTCGTGATAGTAAGGTGCAATAATGATGTTAACGGTTTTCCTAGATAGGATACACTAGGCCGAAGGGAGCAAAACCCCTATCACTTGACGGGTGACACCTTGGAGCTGTTGACATGCGTTCTTACTTTAATGCTCCTGTTTTTACTCTCTTTAGGTAGCCAGTACTATCATGCAGACCGTCGTCTGGATTCTGGAACCTACGGAACAGTTTACTTGGTTCGTCTTCTTCCACCAATGCTGGACGAGAACTTGCCTCTGGCTCATGTTTTAATGGACACCACTACGGATGGATGTTTTCCGGAAAAGCAGTATTTGACGCGGAAGTCCGCCTTTGGCGAGGGTATTGTTCGGGTTGTCAAAATTGAATCACCTGACTCTCCTCTGGAATTCTACTACATGCGAGAGGCTAGAAAACGTGTTGTGGCAGCTTTTAATTCTAAGAAAATCTTAGTTGATATTGTGAGTAAAGTTGCATCGTTCTATTTGTCATATATTATGGAAACCTCTAACCACTTTCACTTTTATTCTAACAAGTCAACCTAAACTTGCAAAGGCTGCTAGCAGGCGACCATTTATTTCATTTTCACAAAATTGCACTAGCAGCGATAGTGGCTGGTCGATTATGTAGCTTGATCTAGCCAATGACCGCACTGAACTCCCAGTTTGGCTTCCCTTGTTCACCCACTTTGTGCGCAGCGTGTTTAGCTTTGGTCATCAAGATTGTGAACTCACCTCTAACCAGCATTGGGTTTATGTAGACTGTTGGACGTTGATGAACAAAGGAACACTAGAAATCAGTTGCCCTGAGCCATATTGTCGGTTTTTTGACTTTATGAAATAGTCATCTGTAACTCTTGCTTTTTATTTGCTGTTTAATATCGATTAAAGCTAATGAAAATGATAGCAATTAGTAACTTATTAAAAATTTGAGCATTTGTATAATGTACCGGTGGTGCTGTGGTCAATATGTACGTCTGTTATCAAATGCCACTGAATCGATGCCCGCGTTACACTTCTTTGGTTGATTTTAGTCAATAAAAAGGTTTTTGAAGTGGGAAGTTCAAATTCTTATGTTGTCTGCATTCAAAAGCCTGCCTTCCCTTAGTACTATTACGAAGGAGTGAAGTGTGATGGAACCTGATGTGAAAGTGTGGGTTATTGTTTAATTTATGGAGCGTCGGCATTGAGAACCTAGGTTTTTCTACCAATAGGAGGCCGACAAATCAAAGCTGCATAATCTGTTCACTTTTGCGGAACGAAAAATTCAGAATAACCTGGTTCCGCAGGGGCCACGACTATCAATATACAGACCACCACATCCATTTTAGTCGTTAATATTATCCCTATCTGCGGTTTTTGGTAAAAGTTAAAGTAGCTTAGAAGTAACTCTACCCTCAGTCTTGTTTCTCCTGGCTTGTGGATATCTACTGGTCCGTTGAACTATGTCAAGAGAAATTTGACGTACTAGCAATACATAACGAAAGTCGCAATAAATCCAAAATAATATCTTGTTGGGTTAATCCAACTTTATTTTGATAATTCACGTCATCATTAAAGTTTTGCCTGTGCAGAATTGGCTCGGGAGTCATTTTGCTTTATTGACACAAAGTATTCGTGCGCTGACTGGATTCAGGATCTCTATAACTAAATGCGATTTATTTTGCGCCCTAGCGAGCTTCAATTTGTCCAGCCCTGGCTCTGACCCACAGCATTGGACGTTTCACCTCAATCCTAATGCCATATTTCTCTGTGGGTCTGCTTAATTTCCTCAACTACGGACTTAAATTAAATAAGCAGTTGACGGCAAAAGCAAAGAGAAAATCGACAAAATCGCGTTCCTCCAAGAATGAAAGTTTTACTTTTTCCGATGCACCACCGCCGCTAACTCAAAAGGAAGAAGAACTCGTGTCGTTGTACTTAACTCTGGAACTCCTCTGGCTAGCTGAGGGTCTCCATACACATGCTCGAATGATTCATGGCGATATCAAGCCAGATAATTTTCGGATTAATGATAAGTTACCGGTGATTGATACTTCAACCTTAGACGACGATGGTGAGAATTATGCAGATGTGGATGATGAGGTACGTTTAAGATTTCCGTTTATTATCTTGATATATATATATATATACTACTGATAATTGTTAAAGTAGTAGTGATTTGATTTTGAAATATATTTATTTTATTTCAAATGGCGGGCGTTATGATAGGTATCATTAGCCCTTTAGTTGACTTCGTGCTTCACAGAAAGGAAGAAGAACACCAAAGTGGCAAAAATGCTTCACAGAAAGGTGGAACATCAAAGTGGCAAAAAGTCGAGAGGCGGGCCAGAAAGAACACCAAAGTGGCAAAGGGTCGAGAGGGGGGGACAGAATAATGATTCACAGACGTAAAAGAGACAGACAGACACAAAGGTAGAAAAAAGATGAGTACTGTGGAATTAGTAGAATATGAAATGCGGTGGGGTCTTGGTAGTTTGAAGTCAGAAGTCAACTGCCGATTAATAGACTTTTTTGCCGTATGAGTATACGTTGCCTAGAGTGCACACCCGAATTTGAAATATATGGAATCATATACTACTGAAATGGCTAAGAAGAAATTCGTGTGTATATGACTAATTAGCGTAAATCGAATGACGTACGGGGGTCCATGTGTAGAATTGCCTAGATTCATTAAGAAGTTATAAGAACCATTGACATAACTAGCGATTAGAGCGGGAGTTTGGAAAATGTGGTGGAGATAGCAAGTAGGTGTGGAGGTGTAAGGCGAGTGAGACGGCACGATCGGTTTCATGATTGTACTTCTAGGGATCACTCCTACAGTACGCATCACCAGGACGTCAGTCAAACCTGATCCTGGATACCCAACCGTGTTGAGGAAGCGTGTCGCGCGTCCGTCAGCGTGATAAGGCTCATGGCTGTTAGCGCTAATACCGAGCTGACCTGGCCGTTTGCCTAGTCGATCGCATTGTCGGAGAGTGGGTTGTGACTCTGCGCTCTCGCCCTCCTCGCCTGCGTGGTGAGGAGGGTGTGTGAGTGAGTGAGTGTGCAGCGCTCCGACGAGTGGGTCGCGCGAGTTCTGAGCGGTTGTTTTTTTTTAATCAACAAAATTTTGAAATGCTGGCATTTGGGCTAACGCTGAGCTCGTCTATGTCAGTAGTTTTCTCCCACGGTCGGCGTCGCTACCGTGGCGCAAAGTGTTCTGCGGAATGAATTCCAAGATGGCCTTTATAATCTATGTGTCCAAAGTGGCCCACCCGTTATTTATCTCTCCTTTCTTCTCAATATTTATGTTTTACCTCACTGTGCTCAACCTTTGCCTTCCTTACCTAAAATTCCCCATATTTACGTTCCTCTTCCAACCCCATCCTAAATTTCACTATCACTCTTTTAATGCCCAATTCCGTCATACATGAGATTCAAACTGCTTGCTGCCTGGCTTAATTGAATAGTCATTTCATTCAATACAGTTGTATTAATGGAAGTGTTAATCCATCCAATTAAAATGCGCTCTGCTGGTGGAAATGAAGTTTGCCCATGGACATTAATTCCGTCGTTGTTATTTTTCTCCTCAATGAACACCTTTGTTGATAGGAAAAATTCCGCTGCGTTCTATCCCATGCCCTTCCTTCTTAGCCCATAATTTACTTCCCTAATATTCGCTCTATTCTCCTTCCATCCTTTAACTTTAGTGAAAATCGGTGTCATATATAGCCCCAGGGAAATTAATGTATTTTTGCCTTAATAAATCCCCTAAAAGGTAAAATATATTCTCGGGGGAGGGGGGGGCTGATTAATGTGGATATCCTTAGTTGGTTCTCTCTGATCAAACATAGTTCAATTTTTATTTTAATGTGTCGTCTGTTGTAGGGAATGGCAACGTTGATCTTTAAAATTCGGTTGTATTTCAAAACGTATTTGTCTTCTTGCTCTTTGTTTCAGTATATTTAATCATTCGCTTTGTGTCTTTAATTGAACGCAGAAATTTATCACGACAAATGAAGGCTACAAGGGCCCAGTGGATTTCATTAGTTGCTTGGATTCTGGCCACCGAACAAGGGTACTAGTACTTTTAGACTTTGGCCTTTGCATCGACATGGCTCGTTTCCCACCGGACACTGTGTTTGCTGTGGACAAAGAACGGTCCGTCAAACGCTCCTTTCCCTGCATTGAAATGGTCACTGGACGACCGTGGACATTTCAGGTTAGTGTTTCTTACCGAATACGTTGAATCTTTGCAATAAATTATTTATGAGCTATGCTTTTCAGTGCTTTAATGGCTAATGTTTTAATTGACTGGTAGAATGATGTTGTCTGTGGTGTGTTACTATACAAAATTTATCCGTATTGGCACTGACTTCGCTTCACTCTTCAGCTGGATTTATTTAACATTGCCGGTGTAATCTACACACTCGTCTTCAAGCGCTACATGGAGGTGGAATGCGTCAACGGCCAGTGGGTGCCCAAATATTTTCCTCGGACAAAGTAGGTTATTTCTAAAATGACTGATGTCTTGAAAAATTGCTTAAACATCTATAACTATTGTATTCTTATTTTCTTTTGCACATCAGTCGTGTATATCGTGCTGCATCTATTTGGCGTGAGGTACTATCAGCCCTCCTGAATGTTAAAAGCTGCGTTCCAGAGGACTACCCTGATTTGGCATCTCTTCGGGCAAGTTGTGAAACGTTCCTTCGTGAAAATGCTGCCAACTTCAACTTGGCTGCAGAGAAGGCGAATGCAATTATTCACTTTCTTACGTCCATCACTTCGTCTTCATTTAGTAAAGGAGACGAAAAGTAGCAGTCGTCAGTCAAAAAATCACCAAGTCTTTCTGAAAACAGTTTTTCTCCCATTCATACATGAACCGTTTTATTAAATTTGTAAATACTGTCCTCGCGAAAATTTACAGTGAATATACACAGTGAAATATTTAACTATTGCATGTTAATCGTGAAATAGGCGATATTCGATTAGGTATTAATTGAGATATCTGTAGTGGTTTGCTATACTAAAAAACCCTGACTTGTGCTAATTAATGGGTATGACAAGTTCGACTAGTTTGTAATGGTTACAAGGATTATCTTAGTTACTACAAAATCATATAGGAAACAGATATTTGAGTTTGCGTTGTGTCATTGAAATGTACCTAAGGGGTTGTTGAAAGATGCTGGAAATATAGATTCAAGAGTGAGAGGCGTCTGCCCTCAAAACCGCGCTTGCACTCCACACGACGTGAAATGTGGCACAGGCGCACCTTCGAGTCTGTGGGGCACGTTATTGCATTTCCGCGCGCCGTTACTAGGACGTGCGGCTGTATGAATTTCCGCGCAGACAACAGTACTACGAGTGACCAATCAGAAGCCGCCATGTGTTTAAAACTTATATTTATTTATTTCAAATGGCAGGCGTTTTTATAGTTATCATTAGCCCTTTAGTTGACTTCGGGCTTCACAGAGGGAAGGAACAACAATGTGACAGAAAGTCGAGGGGTGGTGAACAGAAGAGTGATTTACAGATGTAAAGAGACAGACATGGAGGCAGAGAAAAGGTAGGATGAGGACTGGGCCAGAAGTCAATCGCCAGTTAATAGACATTTTTGCCGTATGAGTATACGTTGCCCAGGGTGCACCACGTGGAAGTAAGTCTATCACGCACCCCGTGTTTAAAACTAAGCAGCCAAGCTGAATATGCCTAATCTGTTTGTCCTGAATAAACGTGTTTCGCTTTATACGTCAATTTCCTCTATAGCGAGGATATAGCTTAACAAGTTCTGGGAGTTTAGCTAGATGATTGAGAATCTGCCACAGGGAATTCTAAATAAGAAAGGCATAACAAAAGTGGCTAACCGCAACAAGAAAACATGAATACAAAAGAAAATTTTAGTTCAGCCACTCATGAAATAAAATAAAAAAGAAAGAAAGGAATAAATGGAATTAAAAGCGACAAATCAAATTAAATAAAGATTGCAATAGAACCAAGTTCAAAGTCTAGAAGGGCTAACACCTTAAAAAAGAAAAATCCCACTCGCATTTGCCACAAAAACCACAGAGGAAGGAGTGAGGAAACTGTCGCGGGACAACAGCTCGTAGATGATGATCTCAGTGTGAGCCATGGTTACCAGGTGGGGTGGGGTGAGGTGGGTGGGGGGTTGGAAGTAGGAGGCAGTACGAACTCTGTGGTTTTGTGAGAGGTGGGGGAGAATGAGGAGAACTAATCGCAACTTCTAACCAGCTAGAATGGAAGCAGAGGTTGGGCATGAGTTATCACCTAAAGAAAAGGATTACAGCTCTCCCCCACTCCACAGAAGTGCAGCAGACCTCAAGTGCACGCCACCTCGCCGTCTACAACCACACTCACCCACATTCACCTCGCCACCTCGCAATGTCCACCACCAAGGCCACACAGGGAGCAGTGAGGAAACTGGCGCGTGGCAGCGCCAAT